GCTCAGAAAATGTTCAGAAAAGGTTTGGATTCATAATGTTGTTTCGTGGTAGTGTTGAATAAAATGCGTATCTTACTTCCCATTAAGTCAACTCCTAAAACTAGGTGCAGTTTGCTGCAGTAGCATTTATTTGGAAACATGCCCCAACTTACCTAGCCAGAGTGCAACAATGCATATTCTTTGTAGCATAACAAAATGCACAAATGTGAACCATCTCTGCATTGTAGTGGTCTGCCTAAGAAAAATAATTATTGCCTAGCTATGACTGGAATACAGGTTGCTGGGGTAGTCTGGGAGATGTAGTCTTGAAGAAGTATTCTAACTACTGCCATCCTTGGGCCACTACTATAATTCCCATAAGCACCTGGAAGCAGGAGGGACCATATACAAAAGCCCGGGAAGGAGCTGGGCAGTTGTGTGAAGTGTGCCAACCAGGTAGGAGAGAGAGAGAGCCGAGCTGTATCGAGCTGAACTGTGCCAAGCTGTACTAAGCTGCGCAGTGCCAGAGAGAGAGAGCTGAAGGCTGTGCTAGATGCTCGAACCAGGAGGCAAATACGAACGTGGACAACTGCATCCAGAATCACTGTCCAGTACGCCATTGTATCTGCTGCTGTCTGCCGCGTTGATGTTTAAGGGGGCCTCCCACCTTACAGAACACTTGCCGCCACTAGAGGACTGTCATAGCAGAATCCGGTGAGATGGTCCCTGACCTGAATTATAGCTAAAACCACTAGCAATGTCCCCTTTGACTTTAGCTGTTATACGGTTGTGGTATAAACAAGGCATAACTACTCTTTTATCCTCCAATCCCTCTCCCTTATCACCACTATTTGATAACCCCACTCTTCCTCAGGGGTTGGGCTCTTCCATCAGTGGACCCTTCACACGCGTTTCCTGGCCCGTGGCTCGGGACTTTATCTGTCCCCAATCGGGTCTTCCGCTCCTTCAAGGTGGGTCTAGGGATTGGTTAACCACTATATACCTATCCTCCTTTTGCAAGCTCTTGCACTCTTCCTTCAACATTCATCACCCACTTTCTGAGATTGACTGGCTGTGTTCCCTCTCTGAACCACCGAGACACGTCCTAGCTTCTCTCTATAAAGTGCTCCACAACGCTCTGAACTCCCTCCCTACACTAAGGCGTGGGCTCGAGACCTAGGTAAGGACATTTTGGCGGAAGATTGGTCCACGTCTTTACTCATAAATCGTCTATTTCTTGCTACTCACAAGAAAATAATTTTAAGCTTCTTTCTCGATGGTACAGGGATCCCCTCTCCCTACACAAAATCTTTCCTTCTACACCTCATCTTTGTTGGCACTGTAATAGAGCTGTTGGTACACAGCTCCACATTTAGTGGGATTGTGATCAAATACAACCCTTCTGGCGACAAGTCTTTGCTGTATATAACCGGGTCTATGGTCCCTTCGCCGAAAATTGCCCTTCTAGCTATACTACTGGGCTCACGGGCAGCACAGAAGAAAAGTCTGTTGCGCTTCTTTCTGTATGCGGCCTGCCAATTGATACCCCTCTTTTGGAAAATAGCTACCCCCCCCCTCCTTTCCCGATGTGGGTCTCTGTGCTTAATGATACCATGCGTATGGAGGAAATGCTGGCGTTTACCAATGATACCTATGGTACACATAAGTTGCTGTGGTCGATCTGGCTCCATTTTTCCTCCTCTACAACTCTCCGAGATATGTGTTCCCCTGTTGCACTCTAGTTGAGCCGTGTTCCCACGACCAATTTTCATTTTGACTTATCCGCAATTTGACCCTACGGTCCGTGCCAAGAGGCAGGCAGCGGGGTCGCTTCGGTGAGATTCGGTTGAGGAACCACCCTACTGTGGCTTTCTAATGTCCCCGTCTCCCAACTCCCTCTTTTTTCCTTCCCCTCCTTCTTTTTTTTTTCCTTTTCTTCTCTCTTTCTTTCTTTTTTTTTTAGTGTATATTTTTGGTTGTATGGAGTTCTCTCATACTGTTTCAGACATTCCGCCCAGGGATACCCCCCGATACTTTATTATGTTATACCTCCGTAATATAAGATATTGATACTTAACTCTGGCAACTTTACTGCATCATTTTCTTACATCCATATTATTATTATTATTATTATTATTATACAGTATTTATAAAGTGCCGATAGTTTGCTCAGCGCTGTACATTACAAAGGGGGACAGAACATGTGACAGAACAACAACAATACAATGCAAAACATGAGGGGATCGAGGGCCCTGCTCTTTCGAGCTTACAATCTAGGAGGGAGGGGATGGTGGCACAGGAGGAGATAGCTGTGGGGGATGGAGTGGTAGGAAGAGTGGAGGAGGTCGGCAAGTTAGCAGGGGGTGGGGTAGGCTTCCCTGAAGAGATGGGTTTTCAGGGTGCGCCTAAAGGAGAGGAGAGTAGGCGATAATCTGATGGGTTGGGGCAGGGAGTTCCAGAGGATGGGTGACACCCTGGAGAAGTTCTGGAGGCGGGCATGGGAGGAGAAGACCAGGGAACTAGAGAGAAGGAGGTCTTGTGAGGAGCGGAGTGTGCATGCTGGGTGGTACTTGGATATTAGGTCAGTGATGTAGTTCGGGGCAGTGTGGTGGACGGCTTTGTATGTCAGTGTTAGGATTTTGAATTTGATCCGTTGCGCAATCGGAAGCCAGTGGAGGGATTGGCAGAGGGGGGTGGCGGAAACGGAGCGGTTGGAAAGGTGAATGAGTCTGGAACATAACCTCATCTGTGATGGTTTTTTTTGTTGTTTATCTACTTGTACATGTTCTGTTTACATCTCATACTATGTCTGTTAAATTTATGCAAAATAATAAAGACAAATTTGCCTTTAAAACCACCAGCATTTGCGTGCAAGAAGCACAAAAACCAGAGTTCCAAATGGATTGAAAACCACAAAAAAAAGGGCAAAAATAAGTCAATGCAATGAAGTAGTGGCAAAGAGGTAATGAGAAGATCTGCAAGTGACAATGAAAAGTTAAACACAAAAAGTTTCTATATAATAAGAGTACAGATGGCTATGATGTGTCAACAAAAAGGTGGTGAGCCGGGACAGGGAGCCAAATGTGGAGTTGATCCTATAGGGAAGCTGCAGGAAATGTCTGAAGATCTTCAGCTCTAGAAACAGGAAAACAGAGGTGCCAAAAGCACTGAATCATTAAATTGCCAAAATTTATTCAAATAATAAAAATCCAAACTTGCACTTAGGAAATGGTACAGCAGCATGAAGGTGGTAGGCGGCAGCCACAGAAGGGATCGAAGAGGCGGGTTATGGGGAGCCGGACCTGCCGAAAAGCATGCAACAAACGGCATCTAGTAAGGCCTGCTTCCGCACATAGGAACTGGGGCCGATGCTGGGAAATTGAGTGGGCGGGCAGATGTGTTTGGGGGCTCCGACCCTTTTTCAAATACCGCACTTTACTGATTGAGCTAAAACCAATTGTTAACCCTTTCTTCAGTCTAGACTTGATAAAGAGCCATTTCTTGCAACTGACACCTTGCCACAAGAGGTCTGTCGCAACGATGGCTGCATCCATTAATAAGCACTAGCCGTCCAAGCCAAATACAAAGCATAAGGCCAGTATCACACAACACTGACTTTAGTTTGCTTTCATTTGCTCCCCCATTACTACACAATATTCAGGTCCTTACACTCTCCAACTGCCCTTTGAATTTGCTCCACCGTTTGCATTACTGCACTGAGGAGCCTACATACCTACTTAGCCTTACTTTACACTAGACTGCAGTTGAATGTCATCAACTTTGAGTAAACTGCACCACTCTAAGTGCCAGCAGTTTTAAACGGCCTCAGTATAGCTGGCAGAAGCCCACCATAAAGATTTGTTCAAATTGCAACTTTCCTGAAGGCAGAACTGGGTTGCCGTTATTGAGTTTAAATTCCAGGGTCTAAGCCTAGCCCCTTTATCTGAGAGCTCTTCAGTGACTTAGCCTGTTACAGCTCTTTATTATCCTTTCTGGTCACTTGAGGCGTAATCTGTCAGAGATTGGAGAGTCAGAGAGCTACTTTTACTCTCTAAATAGGCTGGGTTTGGCTCTAGAGGTACCTCTGTTGAGTACACTGTACAGTCATGGCCAAAAATATCGGCACCGCTGCATTTCTGTCAGATAACACACCACTTTGCGCAGAAAGTTTTTGCAATTACAAATTTTTAGGCATTTTCATGTTTATTTCTGTTGTTTGTGTTTGTATGATACAAAAAAGTGTAGAATCAAAAAGCCAAATCTGATACATTCCACGCAAAACCCCAAAAATGGACTGGACAAAATTATTGGCACCCTCAATTTAATATGTGGTAGCACACCCCGAGGAAAAAATGAACAGAAATCAATCGCTTCCTGTAACCATCGATGAGTTTCTTCCACCACTTTACTGAAATTTTAGACCACTTTTCTTTCACCAACTACTCCCAGGGCTCTCAGATTGGAAGGGTTCCTTTTGCCAACTGCTGTTTTGAGATCTCTCTACAGGTGCTCTATGGGACTGAGATCTGGAGTCACTGCTGACCAGGTCAGTACTCTCCAGCGCTTTGTCTTAAACCATTTCTGGGTGGTTTTTGACATTTGCTTTGGGTCATTGTCCTGCTGTAAGACCCATGACTTCTGATGGAGACCCAATTTCTGACACTGGGCCCTACATTGCACCCCAAAATTCCTTGATAGACTTCAGACTTCATAATTCCATGCACACGGTCAAGACATCCAGTGCCTGAAGCAGCAAAGCAACCCCAAAACATCAGTGAACCTCCATCATGTTTAACTGTAGATACTCTATTCCTTTCTTTAACTTGTTGCCGACCGCAGATAGCCGAATGACAGCTGCACTGCGGCCGGCCAGTTCTGAGTGGACGTCATATGATGTCCCCCCCAGAACGCGCTCTCCTGCGCGCCCCAGGGGGTGCGCACCCCGCGATCTCCGTGATCGCTGTGTCCTACGGACACAGCTGATCACATGATGTGGTAAAAGGCCAATCACAGCGACCTTTTACCACCTGATCAGCGGTGTCCAATGACACGCTGATCAGAGGGAAATGCAAGTGCCGGTTCTTGGCTGCACTTTGCTCACGCTGTCAGATCGTGAGGAAAGTACTGCCGAGAACCGGCAGTTGTCAGAGCGGGGATCGGCACCGATCATCAGGGCACTGATGATCAGTGCCCTGATGATCGGTGCCCAGCAGTGCCACCCGCAAGTTCCGCCCACCTGTGCCCAGCAGTGCGCCCACTAGCTCCGCCCACCTGTGCCCAGCAGATCACCCACCTGTGCCCAGCAGTGCACCCACCTGTGCCCAGCAGTGCACCCTCCTGTGCCACTCTACAGTGTCACACACCTGTGCCCAGAAGTGCCACCTACCTGTGCCCAGCAGTGCCACCCACCTGTGCCCACCAGTGCCACCCACTTGTGCCCACCAGTGCCACCCACCTGTGCCCACCCACCAGTGCTGCCCACCAGTGCCACCCCACCAGTGCAGCCCAGCAGTGCTGCCAGTCAGTGCCACCAGTCAGTGCCCAGCGGTTGTGCCAGTCAGTGCTGCCAGTCAGTGCCCAGCAGTGATGCCAGTCAGTGCCGTCTATCAGTACCCATCATCAGTGTCACCTATCAATGCCGCCTATCAGTGCTGCATATTAGTGCCGCCTATCCGCGACACCTCATTAGTGCTGTCTATCAGTGCCGCCTATCCGTGCCACCTCATTAGTACTGCCTATCAGTGCCCTTTAGTGCTGCCTATCAGTGCCCATCAGTGCCGCCTATCAGTGTCCATCAGTGCTGCCTCATCAACGCACATCAGTGAAGGAGAAAAATTACCTGTTTGAAAAATTTTATAATAGAAACAAAGAAACTTTTTTTTTTTATTTCAAATTTTTGGCAATTTTTTATTTATAGCGCAAAAAGTAAAGCGCCCAGTGGCGATTAAATACCACCAAAAGAAAGCTCTATTTGTGAGAAAAAAATGATCAAAATTTCATATGGGTACAATGTTGCATGACCGCGCAATTGTCAATCAAAGTGCGGCAGCGCTGAAAGCTGAAAATTGGCCTGGTAAATAAGGGGGTATAAGTGCCTGGTAGGCAAGTGGTTAACTGCTTCCTGAAATACTGCTACAGGGTGGCACGGATGCACAAAATCACACACATACTGTATATATATATATATATATATATATATATATGATTTTGCACTTCTGGGTAGGGGGCGCAAGCACCCTACCCGCACCATCATTTGCGGCCATGGCTGTCAATCATCGGGTCCAGGCCGGTGATTACTTGCTGGGGCCCGATGATTGTCGAGCATCTCCGTTGGGGCAGAGAACTGTTTGCAGAGCACAGCCATCCAAAGCAGTGTGCTTACAGGGAAGCACACTGATACAACACTGAGTAAAACAGCACACAGTTAACCTTTTGATTGTCCCACATGTTAACCCCTTCCTGCCCAATGCTATTAGTACAGTGTCAGTGCTTTTTTTTAGCACTGATCACTGTACTGGTGTCACTGGGGATGTCAGTGACACCAAGTCAGTTCCCCCAAGTGTCAGAATGCCCGCCGCAGTCCCGCTATAAGCTGCTGATCACTGCCATTACTAGTACGAAAAAAAAATCCCAGTATATATACCACCATTTATAAACATTATAACTTTCACGTAAACCAATTAATTTACACGTATTGGGATTTATTTTAGCAAAGACATGCAGCAGAATAAATTTTGGCCTAAATTTATGACAAAATTTGATTTTTTAATTTTTTTTACTGGACATGTTTATTAGCAAAAAGTAAAAAATATTGTTTTTTTTTCTCAAAATTGTCGGACTTTTTTTTTTATAGCGCAAAAAATTAAAAACGCACAGATGATCAAATACCACCAAAAGAAAGCTCAATTCGTGGGAAAAAAGGACATAAATTTCATTTGGGTGCAGCATTGCATGACTGCCCAATTGTCAGTTAAAATAACGCAGCACCGTAATGCAAAAAATGGCCTGGTCAGGAAGAGGGGTAAATCCTCTGGAGGGCAAATGGTTAAAGGCCTCATTGTTTTTTTCTGAAAGCAGTAGAATGATGGGCTTTACCAAAAGGCTTTAATTTTGTTTTGTCTGCCAACAGCACATTCTCCTAAAAGGATTTTGGCTTCCTCAGACAGGTTTTGGCAAACTCCAATCTGGATTTTTTATGTTTCTGTGTCAGCAGTGGGATCCTCCTGGGCCTCTTACCATAGAGTCCCTTTTCATTCAGATTGCGATGTATAGTGAGAGCTGACAATGTTGTACCCTGTGACTGAAGGTCAGCTTGAATTTGTCTGGAAGTTGATTAAGGTTCTTTATCCACCATTCGAACAATCCTTCATTGCAATCTTTGATCAAGTTTTTCACTTTCAGTCCACATCCAGGGAGATTAGCTACAGTGCCATGGCCTGTAAACTTCTTGACAATGTTGTGCACAGTGGACACAGGAACATTAAAATGTTCCTGTTAATTGATATAGGTGAGTTTATTTTCAAATTACAGGAGCATCCCAAACTTGGAATGCAATTATTTCTTACAATTTTGAGAAGGTGCCAATAATTTTGTCCAGTCCATTGTAGGCGTTTTGCTTGGGATGTGTCAGATTTGGCTTTTTGTTTCTCCACTTTTTGTGTTATACCAATACAAACAAAAGTTTAAACATTTTTAATTAAATGTATGTACCCAAAGAACCCCCAGTGGGACTTTAATGCAGCAATAGGATCATACATATATTAAAAAATTGGTTAAAAAAGATTATTTATCAACTTTATTACATAAACATTTCCATTGTAATATTAAATACATGATTTCTAAAAAGAATATTGCTCTGACAGTATTCTTACAAGAGAACTCCATGGGATTTGACATACTTCCATTCCTTGGAGAAATTAATATCACAAATTTACCACTCTATTTCCTTGAGTTGTTACATCCATTACTGAGTGAAATTCTATTTGTTCCATACATTGGCCTGCTCAAGACACGGTCAGTTTTATCTCTTGATATATCCTTTATGGACTCTTCTTGAATACATATTCTTTTATTAGGTATATCCCTTTGGTTTGATTTGGAATTTAATATATTGTTTTTCATACCAACTTTAGTCCCATTGGGGGGATTTTCTGGGGCCCCTCTGTCAGTCCTTGTTGTCTGGTGACTTACATCTGACCACTCTTGCCCTCTTGAATGATGCACCCCACCGGAACATGGTGTCCAGCCCAGGGGTGGACTGACAACTCATGGGCCCCTGGGCAATAGGGGATCATGGGGCCCCTGTGTCCTTGCCCAAACTAAAAAAAGCCTATGAAAAAGGTACCAGGGGCATCTCATGGGACCCCCTACTGACCCCGGGCCCTCGGGCAGTGCCCGAGTTTCCAAATGGTCAGTCCGCCCCTGGTCCAGCCTCTCATCTTGGAAGTCATCCTTTCTTTTGCTCTGACATATGCTTTTGTAAGGAAAAAATTATTTGGTTATGTGAACACATTTTTTTGATTATCTGTTTATTTATTTTTTGGTATATTAGTTTATCATTATTTATATATTTACTAGAAAGTCCTTTGTCTCTCATGCTCCCTGAGGAAGATCTAGAATGTGGAATGATCGAAACGTGTTGGCATTTTTTTCTTTCTTTTTTGTGTCGATTCATATTTTTGTATTAAGAGTTTTCTTGTAAGAATACTGTCAAATCAATATTCTTTTTAGCAAGCATGTATTTAACTACTTGCCGACTGTAGATAGCCGAATGACGGCTGCACTGCGGGCAGCCAGTTCTGGGTGGACGTCATATGACGTCCTCCCAGAACGCGCTCTCCTGCGCGCCCCCGGGGCGCGCCCCCCCGGCGATCTCTGTGATTGCTGTGTCCTACGGACACAGCTTACCACGTGACATGGTAATAGGCCAATCACAGCGGCCTTTTACCACGTGATCAGCCGTGTCCAATGACACACTGATCACCGGGAAGTGCAAATGCTCTCGGCTGCACTTTCCTCACGCTGTCAGATCGTGAGGAAAGTACTGCCGAAAACCGGCAGTTGTCAGAGCGGGGATCGGCACCGATCATCAGGGTCACTGATCATCAGTGCCCTGATGATCGGTGCCCAGAAGTGCCACACAGAAGTTCCGCCCACCTATGCCCAGCAGTGCGCCCACCTGTGCCCAGCAGTGTGCCCACCTGTGCCACCCAGCAGTGTCACCACCTGTGCCCAGAAGTGCCACCTACCTGTGCCCAGTAGTGCCACCCACCTGTGCCCACCCACCTGTGCCCACCAGTGCCACCCACCTGTGCCAACCAGTGCCACCCACCAGTGCCCATCAGTGCAGTCCAGCAGTGCTGCCAGTCAGTGCCCAGCGGTTGTGCCAGTCAGTGCAAAGCGGTGCCACCAGTCAGTGCCCAGCAGTGATGTCAGTCAGTGCCACCTATCAGTGCTGTCTATCAGTACCCATTATCAGTGTCGCCTATCAGTGCCACCTATCCATGACACCTCATTAGTGCTGCCTATCAGTGCCGCCTATCCGTGCCACCTCATTAGTGCTGCCTATCAGTGCCCTTCAGTGCTGCCTATCAGTGCCCATCAGTGCTGCCTCATCAACGCACATCAGTGAAGGAGAAAAATTACCTGTTTGAAAAATTTTATAAAGAAAACAAAGAAACTTTTTTTTTTTTTTCAAATTTTTTTGCAATTTTTTGGTTATAGCACAAAAAGTAAAGTGCCCAGCAGTGATTAAATACCACCAAAAGAAAGCTCTATTTGTGAGAAAAAAATTATAAAAATTTCATATGGGTACAATCTTGCATGACCGCGCAATTGTCAATCAAAGTGTGACAGCACTGAAAGCTGAAAATTGGCCTGGTAAATAAGGGGGTATAAGTGCCCGGTAGGCAAGTGGCTAATATTACAGTGGAAATGTGTATGTAATAAAGTTGATAATCTTATTGCTGCAGTAAAGTCCCACTGGTGGTTCTTTGGGTACATGCATTCATATAGGGATGAGCAGTCAGATACTCGACCCTTTTGGTTATGTAATTAAATGTAATAATATTCTGGGAGAAGTGGCGCATCATCTGACAGAAATGTAGGGGTGCCGATATTTTTGGCCATGACTGTATCTGTTACTGTTGTATTCATGTGCATTGATGTTGATGTATCAATCTGGTCTGTCTTTTTTGTGACTTTAATCTGCCAATACAGTATGCTTATTTTTTCAAAGGACCGTGTTTGCAATTCTTGTACGTCTGCTGGGAGATCCTAGACAAGATGTCAAAAAGAGCAGAGGACCCAAAGTTTTAGTGGCTGCTATGGGGGGGGGGTGCTACACCTTGATCCTATAATAAAAATGCCAAGAGACAGAAATAGACTGACTGAGCTGTTTTCTTAACTAAATCCTGTATCCTACATCACATGGCTAAATGACATGGCAACTGTGTAGTCATCCTCAGAATGTAAAACATGTCTGCTA